AAATAATATAGTTTTGATTTATGAACAGATTTAGAGACAAATGGAATATAAAATTCAAAAATAGTATGAAATATACATGAAATGTAGTGTATGATAGATGCAGCAGTAGTGAAATAGGAGATGTGCACTCAATGTGTCTCACTGGAGACTAAAACCCACAAATATGCAGTGAGGACCTTGTCTCCCAGTGTTTTATGTTTGCACATCTGATGTTTCCACATGTGCAGAGAAGATGTTTAATATTTGACTGTCTTTGGCTGTGGTCTGATGGATGAGTCTCTCCTGACTCAATACACATTGTAACCTGTTCTCAGAGTTCACAGTATGTCTCTTGGTGAACGTAGATGTTACTACTGTCTGGAAAGGTTGACCATCTACAGCAGACACTCTTGCTGTGTTTGGGAATAGACACATATTGTTTCTGTAGTTATTTTCAGTTGGTGAATTTTCTGGGGGACTCCTCCACGCCCTTGTCCCACATGAGGTAATTGTCTTAAAGCAGTTCAGGAAGAACAACTTTGTGTAGACTCTGGAATGGGCTGCTTCAAAGTAGGATACTCTATATAACCTATATTCTAACGTGCAACCAACAGAAGACAGCACATTTTTTCTTTTTTTTTTGTTTTTTAGGAAAAAACTTCTGGAGAAAATAGGCAAGGCATGGTGGCTCATGCCAATAATCCAAGGACTTTGGGAGGCCATGACAGGAGTATCACTTGAGGCCAGGAGTTTGAGATCAGGCTGGGCAACCTAGGGAGACTTTGTCTCTCTATATATAAAAAAAAATTAATAGGGCATGTTGACATTCAACTACAGTACCACCTACTCAGGAGGCCAAGGCAGGAAGATCACCTGAGTTCAGGAGTTCCAGGCTATAGTGAGCTATAATCACACCACTGCACTCCAGCCTGAGTGACAAAGTAAGATGTTGTTTATAAAAAAAAGAAACAAATAAAGATTCTTTGTTATAAGAAATAAAACTAATCTTAAGAGGATGTTCTATAATGTAAATTAACAGATGTTTTATGCCTATATTGAAACTTTTGTTTGTTTATTTGTTTGTTTTTGAGACAGAGTCTCACTCTGTTGCCCAGGCTGGAGTGCAGTGGTGTGATCTTGCCTCACCGCAACCTCCACCTCCCGGGTTCAGCTGTAATCCCAGCCACTCAGGAGGCTGAGGCAGGAGAAATAACATGGTGAAAGTACCAATAAACATGGTGAAATACCATCTCTACTAAAAATACATGAATTAGCCTGGCATGGTGGCACACGCCTGTAGTCCCAGCTACTTGGGAGGCTGAGGCAGAAGGATCACTTGAACCCGGGAGGTGGAGGTTGTAGTGAGCCAAGATTGCACCACTGAACTCCAGCCTGGGGGATGGAGCGAGGCTCTTTCCAAACAAAAAAAAAAAAAAGAAGAAGAAGAAAAAGAAAAAAGGAAAAAAGAAATACTTTTAGCTAATAAAAGAAATCAGAAGAAGAAAATAGTGGAGAGATACAACATGATCATGAATGCAAATACTCCATATTGTCAAGATGTCAGTCCTTCCTAGCTTGATCTGTGATGCACTACAACCTTAAACAAAATTCCACAAACTTCTTTTGGGGCTATTGACAAACTGATTCTAAAGTTTATATGTACAAGCAAAAACCTAGAATGAGTTTACATGTAGAGGCTAAAGACCTAGAATAGCCAACACAACATTGCAGGAGAACATAAAATTGGATGACTGAGACACCACTCAGCTTCAAGATTAAATATAAATCTATAGTAATCAAGAGAGTGTGATATTCGTAAAAGAATAGACAAATCAGTTGATGGAATGAATGCAGAGCCCAGAGGTAAGCCCATATTAATATGCTGAATGAATCTCTGATAAAAGACTAAAGGCAGTTGTAATGCAGCCAAGAGAATCCTTTCAACAAATGATGCTAAAACAATTGGACATCCACATACAAAAGCATGAATCACAAACATTACAGCCTCACAAAAACGAACACAAATGGATCACAGACCTAAATTTAAAATGCAAAACTCTAAAATTCCTAGAATGTAATTAGAGAAAATCTAGATGACCCGGGATTTAGCAATTATAAGTTAGATAAAATACCACCAGTTCATTTTCTAAAAGTAAAAAATTGATGTCAAATTTACCAAAATTAAGTATTTCTGCTCTGTGAAAGACACTGTAGAGAATGAAAAGAAACAGTATGGAAGAAAATATTTGCAAAAGACATATCTGATAAGGATTGTTATCCAACATATAGAAATGGTTTTCAAACAACAATAAAACAAACGACCTGACTGAAAAGTAAAAATAAAGAGTGAGCCGAAGACTTCAATCAATACCGCACCTGAGGGCCGCAGGAATGAAATAACCACAGGTAAACCGCTGCTTACCACCTGTTGCCCACCTTTCTTTCAGAGAACAGACAGTGAACAAAGGATGCTGGGGCCACAGGAGAAGAAAACTCTACGTCTTCAGATCTGTTCACAGTCTGGAACTTTCATGTTTACATAGGAAGAAAATAGATTAAAGGCACACTTATTTTGCTATTTGGCCTTGACCCTAATGGTCAGGCTGTGGTTATCTGTTTTCTCCTGTGGTGTGGGAAACTGAGTGAATATAAGCACCAATCACATGCATACATGTCCACATGTTCACGTGCATTTATTTATTATTTATTTATTTATTTTTTGAGACTGAGTTTTGCTCTTGTTGCCCAGGCTGGAGTGCAATAGCATGATCTCGGCTCACAGCAACCTCTGCCGCCCGGGTTCAAGAGATTCTCCTACCTCAGCCTCTTGAGGAGTAGCCGGGATTACAGATATGTGAAACCACGCCCGGCTAATTTTTTTGTATTTTTAGTAGAGATGAGGTTGCTCCATGTTGGTCAGGCTGCTCTCGAACTCCCGACCTCAGGTGATCTGCCCCACCTCGGCCTCCCAAAGTGCTGGGATTACAGGCATGAGCCACCACACCCAGCAATAATAGTTCTGCATTTCTCAACATTATCTTACAGGACATCTAACTTTAAATAGGGAAAAATATCAGTACTTTGATGGTGCTCAGCATTAGAAGGTAACTAGTAATCAACCTGTCATTAAATCTCGGCGTTCTATCTGCACTGGGTGCATGTATTAGTGACCTTTGGCAGCATAACAAACCATCCCAAAACTGATTAGCTCATAATTGCACTGCTCAGCCATTTAGCCATTCTTCTCTCTAAGAACTCTAGGAACAGAAGGCCATTCTTCTGTTCTTAGCTGGGCTCATTGAGACACGTATCATGAGCTGCTCATTGACTAGGAAGGCAGCCCTCTTCTAGGGGTGAGCTTCTGCGTCTTGGGCTGTCAACAGGGGCACCTTGCTTCTCCTCCCCATGGTATCTTATCCTCCAGCTGGCTAATATGGGCTTGTTTCGTGAAGATGGCAGCATTCTGAAAGAAAAACAGAAGCAGGCCTGGCATGGTGGCTCACGCCTGTAATCCCAGAACTTTAGTAGGCCAAGGCAGGTGGATCACCTTAGGTCAGGAGTTTGAGACCAGCCGGGCCAACATGGTGAAACCCTGTCTCTACTAAAAATACAAAAATTAGCTGGGTGTGGTGACACATGCCTGTAGTCTCAGCTACTCGGGAGGCTGAGTCAGGAGAATTGCTTGAACCTGGGAGATGGAGGTTGCAGTGAGACAAGATCATGCCACTGCACTCTAGCCATGATGACAGAGAAAGACTCCTTCTCAAAAAAAGAGAAAAACAGAGAGAGAAAAGAAAAGGAAAACAGAAGTAGTCAAAACTGTTTGAATCTAGGCCCCATACTAACACATTGTCATGTTCCCAGGTTTCTACTGCCCTGAGCAAGTAGGGCCAGCCAGAGCAAGTGTTTGGAAAATAGATTCTGGATCTTGATGGCAATGGCTGTAAAAGCACCTGACAATGGACATGAATACAGGAGGGATGAAAAATTGCTACCATATTTGCAATCAGTATCATTCTGCTGTTGTTTGTTTGTTTGTTTGTTTTGAGAGGGAGTCTTGCTCTGTCGCCAGGCTGGAGTGCAGTGGTTCAAGCTATTCTTGTGCCTCAGCCTCTTGAGTAGCTGGGATTACAGGCCCACACCACCACACCCAGTTAATTTTTGTATTATTAGTAGAGATGGGGTTTTACCATGTTGGCCAGGATGGTCTCAATCTCCTGACCTCGTGATCTGCCTGCCTCGGCTTCCCAAAGTGCTGGGATTACAAGCATGAGCCACTGCACCTAGCCCATTCTGCTTTTTCTTCATATGCGGTCCACGGAACTCTTCCACATCAAGAAATTTTCCAAACACCCACAGCTACTAAGTGGCTGGGCTGGGACTCAGGATCAACTATCACTCCGAAGCCTATGTACCTCCATGGAGCGCACTATTCAAGTAGCTGCCCTAGACTCTTAAAATCCTGGAGAGTGACACTTCAAAAATAGAAACCAGATTGCTTTTAGATTTGTGCCCATATAGTACTGTTTATCAGTGGGAAAAATCTCACGAAATTACTGAGGTACACGGTGGCTCACATCTGTAATTCTAACACTTTGGGAGGCTGAGATGGGAGGATCACTTAAGCTCAGGAGTCCAAGTACAGCCTGGGCAACACAGGAAGATCCTGTCTCAGTAAAAGAAATTAAAAAAATTAACCAGGCATGATGATACTCAGGCGTCTAGGATAGTATTGTTTAAACCTGGAAGGTGGAGGCTATATTAAGCCATAATTGATTACACCACTGCACTCCAGCCTGGGTGACAGATTGAGACAGAGTGTTTTGTTTGTTTGTCTCAAACAAAACAAAGCAAAAACAAAAAAGGAATTGCAAAAGCATTTTGAAAAAACCTAGAAAAACTTGGAAAAAGTAGCTGACATAGCTGATATGGAATAATTTGGAAAACATAACTTATTTTAGGTAATCAAAGCCTAACAACACATCACTTATTTTTTTTTATCATACCAAACATTTGAAGACTTTTAAAAGAAAAAAAACTTCAGAGAAATTAAATTTAACGTAGTTTAATTGAGCAAAGAATAATTTGCAAATTAAGCAGCCTGTGGGTCCCTAGTAGCCTCAGACAGACCCCAGCACAGCCACAAAGTAAAAAAGATTTATGTACAGAGAAAGCAAAGTGACATACAGAAAATACAAGTGAGGTACAGAAACAGCCAGATTTATTACAGCTTGGGATTTGCCTTATTTGAATACCGTTTGATCATTCGATGTTCTTTTATTGTGAAAAACACAGTGGTTGGTACAAGAATAGGTTACAATCTATGTACATATTCAGCTAGGTTTTCATTTACTATGTACAGAAAACCCTATTAACGAAAATTAAACATAAAAGGGGTCAGCTTTAGGCTATAATTAATTTAGCAATATCTCCCTTTTGGTTATCTCCTCAATTTCAAGAAATAAACCAAAACTTTAGACAGTGATATTACTTTGTCACCATTACAAATGTACTTATTTAGTCTCAAATTCCACTATAAAATAGCAGAACTGTGGGTTTTACAAAGTGAAAACAAGTACTTCAGTTTATTATTTTTAAAAATGATTACAGTAGAAGAAACCTCCTTGTATCGAAATCTGCTTTTTACCAAAGAAAAACAAGACGTGGCCAGTTTTAGAATCTACCTATTTCTTTAAATTTGCAGTTTGACTATGTCACATTTAGCATGAATGACTCCATTTTGGTTTGCTTTGGTTTGGTCTGTTTGGGCCTAGTGAACAAGCTCAGTCCAGAATGATGGCCTCGAATAATTTTGTTTAAAATATTTCCCCCTTTTGATTAAGTTTTCACATAGGTCAGAGTGTCACCAAAACTTAGGGTCTTAGTGTCACTCTCAGTTTCCATTATTTTAGGTTTCCGTTCTTATCCGGTCATTCATAGGTTACGGTGTTCTCATGGTCACATACATCTTCAAGTTTTCATCATTCCTGTTAAAGACAGACCACATGAGATAACTGCATGCAAAGATTTATAACTTTTGAGACAATAGAGTGCAGTAGGGAGACTATTATTTTGACTATCAGGAAAATAATGTCAAGAGCTAGAAGTATGCTTTTTTTTGGTTTCTTTTGAGATGAAATCTCACTCTTGTCACCCAGGCTGGAGTGCAATGGCACGATCTCAGCTCACTGCAACCTCTGCCTCCTGGGTTCAAGTGATTCTCCTGCCTCAGCCTCCCAAGTAGCTGGGATTTCAGGCATGTGTCACTATCCCCGGCTAATTTTTGTATTTTTAGTAGAGACAGGGTTTCACCATGTTGGCCAGGCGGGTCTCGAATTTCTGACTGGTGATCCTGCCTCGGCTTCCCGAAGTGCTGGGATTACATGTGTGAGCCACCGCTGCAGGCCTGAAGTATGCTTTCTAACCAAGGACCCCATGAACCAACCAACTACGATTAAATAGATCAAATAATTAGCTTGTTAAACGGTCTACTCATTTCAACCAAGCAGTCTGTTCATTAATTTCCTACAACGGAATCTCTGTAATACTCGATGTATTTCTCCATGTGCGACTACAAATACTAGCAACTGCACAGATACTTCTCTGTTTATCCAGTAAGTAAACTAAATAAATTCTTTTATTTAGCACAACTTTAGTTTAAAAAAAGAAAAAAAAAAAAGGGCGGGCGCGGTGGTTGAAGTCTGTAATCCCAGCACTTTGGGAGGACGAGACGGCTGGATCACGAGGTCGGGAGATCGACACCATCCTGGCTAACACGGTGAAACCCCGTCTCATTAAAAAATGCAAAAAATCTAGCCGGGTGAGGTGGCAGGGGCCTGTGGTCCCAGCTACTTGGGAGGCTGAGGCAGGAGAATGGTGTGGACCCGGGAGGTGGAGCTTGCAGTGAGCCGAGATCGGCCACTGCACTCCAGCCTGGGCGACAGAGCCAGACTGTCTCAAAAAAAAAAAAAAAAAAAAAAGGCTTCCAATGACCTTTTGTAAAGGTCAACACATTTTTTCCACTCTAAGTGGATCTGACTGTCATCAATTGCAATTACAAAAGCAATCTAGTGAATTTAGTTAGCTTTGCTCAGTACTATTGTATCTGTAATACATTATTTAACCGTTTTACACCTTTTCTAGTGAAATAAATATCTTTGTAATTGGACAACTTTTCAGAAAGTTTTCATGAGGGAAAAAAAGTCTTAGTATCCTTTTAGCTACGGTTAAAACATCATCCTTCTTGCATCAGAAAGCTTTTATACTACCAGAAAACATGCATTAAAAATGACAGTTGCCAGGTGTGCAGTTTTCTCTCCATTGCTCATGTCTGTAATCCCAGTATTTTGGGACTGAGGTGTGAGGATCCCCAGAGGGCAGGAGTTCGAGACCAGACTAACATGGTAAAATCCCGTCTCTACTAAAAACACAAAAATCACCTGGGCGTAGTAGCGGCCCCCTGTAATCCTAGCTACATGGGAGGCTGAGGCAGGACAATTGCTTGAACCTGGAAGGCAGAGGTTGCAGTGAGCCAAGATCGCGCCATTGCACTCCAGCCTGGGCAACATGAGTGAAACTCAGTCTCAAAAAAGAAAAAAAAAAAAAAGCCTGGCGAGGTGGCTCATGCCTGTAATACCAGCACTTTGGAGATTTTCATATTTAATTTTGAAATGAATGCATTAACATTTTATTAAAATATAAGTTGCTAAAGGTCATACTTTTTAATTTGACAATCGCTTTCCATGTCATTTAACACATTCAAATGAATTCTGTTTATTCACTCTTTTGGTATGCTGCATTGCAACACTGTAGCAATTCCAATGTTTAGGGGTCTAATACACACTCTTTAAGCCTGAATTTTAATTTTGGGAAGCCTGCCCAAATATGTCAAAGGATTAAATATATCCCTTGAACAAAATGGATCAGCAGGCCCACTATTATAATAGATAATCATTCATTTAGGCCAAAAGCAAGTTAGTAAAGATTTTATTTATTTGATTTTATTTATTTATTTTTTGAGACAGAGTTTCTCCCTCTGTCACCCGGGCTGGGGAGCTGCAGTGAGCGTGATCTTGGGTCACTGAAACCTCTGGCCTTCCCAGGTTCAAGGAATCTCTCCTGCCTCAGCCTCCGGGGGAGTAGCTCGAGGACTACAAGGTGCCCACCATCGCCTGCCTGGCTAGATTTTTGTATTGTTAGTAGAGAATGGGCTTTTGGCATGTTGGGGCCAGGCCTGATCTCGAAACTCCTGACCTCAGGTGATCCGCCTGGCCCCTCAACCTCCCAAAGTGCTGGAGATTTCAGGGCACTGAGACCACCGGTTTGCCGGCCTATTAGAAGATTTGTATAAAACAAAACTGTTTTACTGTTTGATGCAGGGAGATTTTGTTTTACAATCAAATTGACCCAAGAAAGACAGCAGCGAGGAAAAGCCCTTATTCTTAACTCTCTTTCTCTTTTTAAATTAATTCAAAAGTTGAATAAAAAATATGTTATTTGTGTTATAGTAATAATACATTAAATTTTGTTGTTCCAAGAGAAAATCAACTTTTACTTTTCTATTAGTGTGTTATCAATACTAAAGCTAGTTTTGGCCAGGCACAGGGCTCACACCTGGTAATCCCAATACCTTGTAAGTCGAGCAGGCAGATCACCTGAGGTTAGGAGTTCGAGACCAGCCTGGCCAATATGCAAAATCCTGTCCCTACTTAAATTACGAAAATTAGCCGGGCGTGGTGGCAGGCACTGTAGTCCCAGCTACCAGAGAGGCTAAGCAGGAGTATCACTTGAACCCAGGAAGTGGAGGTTGCAGTGTGCCCAAGATTTGCGTCACTGCACTCCAGCGCCGAGTGACACAGCAGAGACTCTGTCTCAAAAAATAAAAATCAAAATTTAAAAAAATAAAAAATTAAAAGCTAATTTTCACAAAACTTTATAAATAAATCCACCAAATCTATCATTTTGACCACTGTAGATTTCCATACATAGTTTATAATCTCTTTTAATTACTTTTTTTTTTCTTTTTGATAGGGAGTTTGCGCTTTTGTTGCCCAGACTGGAGACAATGGTGCAATCTCTCCTCACTGCTAACCTCTTGCCTCCCCCTGGGGTTTTTTCAAAAACCCCCCGCCCCCCCCCCCCCCCAGTGATTTCTCCTGCCCGCCTTCCACGAGTAGGCTGGG